TGCTAGCAGGTTCCCAATGGGAAATTCCATTGGGACCAAGTAGCACTAAATTGGTGACTTAGAAACGAACAGGCTTTAAAATGTTTCTGTTAGTCCTGAAATCACTGAATGGCTTCGATCCAAACTACATTACAGGCTGGTTGGCAGTGAATCGACAGTCAGACCTCCCATGTCAAATGGATCTAATCTATTGCAGAACTAAACATGGAGAAGCAGCTGGAAAAGTGTTGAAATAAGCTTTCTAATTATAATTAGTTTTCAATGCAACGTTCTTTCAATTTATAAGTAATTAATCACTTTATATTCAACAATTATTAACTTATGTACTTTTCTTTTTGTGCTGTCCTATATTTTTTTCATGTGTGTTTTGAATTATCTTGTGACTGAAATCTACTATAGAAATAAACCTGCCTTGCCTTCCGGGTTTGATGTGGTCTGAGCTGTTTCCTGTCACAGCGTTCATATAAACACAGAACCTTCTCCCACATGTCTGCAGTCTCCTTTGTTATCACTCTGACTAAAAACAATACGCCTAGAACCACAAAACCTGCTTGACCTTAAAAAAACATTCTGTTTTATGAACTTTTTAAACTAAAATCTATAAAATAATTCATTGGAAATCAAAGAACCAGATTCTAGATAATGTTTCCTGCTAAAACTCACAAAAGGACCAACAAAAAACGTTCCCCTTTATAATTACTGCACTGCAGATACTAGAAGCAGATATTGCATCTTGTTGATTTTAACAAATAAAACCCGTCATTCATCTCTATATGGGTTTTATTTAGGGGTATCAAATTAAAGGTAGACCAAATTTTCAATACCTTTCTGTTCATAAAACCAAACATATTGTGGTTTAAAAAGGTCATTTCCTCTCTTTATGAATGATGAGTGTTCATTTATTTACTTTCTACTGCAAAGTATTTGCTCAGGCTGTTGCTCTGCAGTGTCTTGGCATCAGGACCAGTTTTTCCACTTTTAGATGTTTTGAAAAGTAGCTTCATCTGGTCTGTTCCTGTTTGGCTGTGACTCCATCCTGGA